TACCCTTATTCTCATCATTATCTACAATTATCTAATCCAACTTAATACCTCAACAACCTTCCTTGCTTTCCAACCCTTTTCCCTCTGGAGAATCATAACCTGTCATCAACAAAGTCCCCTATAACCTCATCTCTAGCTGAAAAAGCACCCAGCTATACTAACTGGTTTCTCTTCAGGATTGCAAATCTCAGTGAGCATTCAACTGCATTTCCCTAGGTCTGCTTTCCCACACCTCAGGATGACTCTTTCACAACTTCTCTCTCCTTAAACAAGCCATCCCTCTTCATACGCCTTTGCTGAGGGTTCTGTCTTCCTGCATCCTTCTCAAGGAAGGCCTGCTTTTCTCTCATGCATTACCTGGTGAGGGGGTAGCTTTCCTCCTCATTGTCATGGCTGCTTCTGAACCATTTTGATGCCTTCCTTCTCTCTAGCTCCTTTGAAGCGCATGCTGTGAGACCACATCAGCCTTCCTTATAGCTATCACTGACAGAACTCCTGATCAGTCCCCCTCACTCATTCATGACTTCAACTCATGGCTCAACATCTTCCTCTCCACCTGTGGATGGATTTCAACAGCCACAGGATGAACCATCAAGTACCCTATCTACACAGTTCCTTGACTTCTTCCTCCCTTCAGTGATCTTTCCTTCGCTACACCTCAACCACCCATGGTAAGATTCTTGTTTTCCTCATCACCAGTAATTGTACTCTCTTCTAAAATCTCAACTTTGAGGAACTCTCTTTCTGATCTCCACCTCTCTATCCTTCCGGGTTTCTTATTCTGGTACTTCGATCTCTATGCCGTGGGCCCTACCACTTTTTCTCTATTACCCTCCTCATAACCTCACTTAATTTTCTACCCAGCCTAGATTCCATTATTAGGATCACTCTTTTGCAAAAGACGTGAACTCCTTCGTCCTTCTCTCCCTCCATTGTATTTGCCTAGGAAAACACCAACCATGGCTAAACCCAAATTTCTGTCTATTCTGCACCTGTCCCTGAGCAACTAAGTGTTACTGGAGAAAAATCACCCAACTATACCAACTGGTTTCACTTTAAATTCCTGACTGCAAATCTCAATAGGCATTCAACCATATCTCCCTAGCAAGTCTGCTTTCCCACACTTCAGGATGAGGTTTTCACAACTTCTCTTTCCTTAAGCCTCCAACAAGCCACTCCTCCTTTACTCCCCACAGAGGGCCACAGCTGTTTGCACTCAGGGAGGAAGTTGAAACTTTCCAATGCCAGATCAACCATCCTAATTTGTTCCCATTTTCTCTGCTTTTCCTTCCTGTTTTAATAAATGAGTCCCTGCTCCTCTATCTTCCAGTATAGTCCTATAAGTCTCCTCCCCTCTCTCCTGCATCTTCGATTTTTCCCTTTCTAATGGATTCTTCTCATCAATATTGAAACATTTCCTGTGTAAAAAATAAAAAAAACTCCTTTGACTCTAACTCTCACTTTACCAATCTATTCTTTGTTCTGCTTCACATGAAAGATTTACCTGTACTCTTTACACTTCTTTCTCCCCAGTCTCCTTTCGACCATCTCCATAGACCTCTGCCTTCCAATCCACTGTAACTGTCCTTGCCATGTTACTCAAAATCTCCATTTTGTGGCCTGTCCTCTTTTCTCTCACTTAGTAGCATTCAACATAGGTAACTACTCACCTCCTCTAAACACTTTCTTCTCTTGGCTTCCAGGACACCACATTCTTCTAGTTTTCCCCTGTCTGATACAACGTTCTTTCTTGGTCACCATTGCTGGTTCCCCTCCACCTGATGTTCCCTAGGGCTTCCATCCAGACCCTCTTCTTCTCTATACCTGATTACTAGGCAATTTCATCATGCCCCATTACTTTATCCTGATTTCTTCCCTTTCCCTCACTGCTCTTGTCCATCCTCTCACCCCGCAACAGTCCATCAGAACAAATCCTGCTAGCTCTTCCTTCAAAACATATAATCTATTTAACTTTTCTTCAACTTCACTGTCATAACCAAAGTATAAGCCACATAAAACATCAATCAGACATGCCACTCCCCTGTTTAAACAGAACAAAACCCCTCCAATGTCTTCTCACTGCACTTAGTATAAAATCCAAACTCTAGATCACAGCCTTCAAACCCTGCTTATCTCTCACTTTGTCTCTAATCACTCTTCGCTTCTTTCTAGCCATAACAGCTTCTTTGCCTTCTTTCAGCAGACCAAGATTATTCTTGCCTTTCTTGCCTCAGCCCTCTGCATTTGCCACCAGACCACTGTTCTACCAGATGTTTTTTTTTTGGGGGGGGGTCTCACTCTGTCACCTGGGCTGGAGTTCAGTGGCACAATCAGAGCTCATTGCAGCCTCCAACTCCTGTCCTCAGCCTCCCAAGTAGCTAGGACTACAGGCGTGTGCCACCATGCGTGGCTAATTTTTAAATTTTTTTTTGTGGAGACGGGGTCTTGCTAGTTGCCCAGGCTGGTCTCAAACTCCTGGCCTCAAGCAATCCTCCCGCCTTGGCCTCCCAAAGTGCTAGGATTACAGGTGTGAGCCACTGTTCCTGGCCTGTTCTACTAGATCTTTATTTGTCATTCTTTCTCATCATTCAGTCTCTTATCAAATATTCCCTCCTCAGAGAAACTTTCCCTGATGTAATTTTTCCTCCTTAACCCAGATGGTATGTATGACCTCATCATTTAAAAAAATTTTCTTCATAGCACTTATCATGACAATGTGAAATAGCTGTCTTATCTCCACCACTAAAAAAGAACAAGGATCAGGTTTGCCTTGTTAATCACTGTATTCCCAGAACATATAAGTAGGCACCCAATAAATATTTGCTGAATGAATGAAATAGCAAAATGAAAGAATGCAGTGGAAGTCCAAGTGGGTCATAGTTAAATAAAAATCAACTTATTAATGGTTATTAATGTGTTATATACATTACAATTATTAACATAATGTATTATATTGTTGCAATAATAATAAAGTAAGCTTCAGGTAGGGACTAAAAGGCAAATAAAGCACAGGGAATAGAGAAGTGCTGTCTCCTATATAGCTTCACTGTTGAGTCCTTCACTAGAACAGGTATTCAATTTAGGGTTCTAGAGTGTCCACCCACACTGGAAA